TTGCAGAAACCGCAGGATTTGCCGATATCTACACGCAAGACTATAGCGGATATTTTAAAGACATTAAAGATTATATATATCTAAACGGTGAAAAATACCGTCCCCAAGATATATCACCAATTAACATTTTTAGCTTTGTTACACTCAAAAATGAGATCCTCGATTTTCTAGGATGGCCCTACTACATCTTAGAAAAATTGACTATTTTATACGCAATGTTTAACTTTATTGGATTTCTTTTCTCACTTTTAAAAGGAATCTACAACACATGTGCTATACACACACAAGTAAACAGACAAGCAAGCGTAGCACGCATACTCTTTGCAGGATTTTTTGGAATCTTTTCTACATCTATAAACAAAATTCTTTTAGACGCACAAATAAAAGAATATAACACAAAAATAGCAACACGACAAAATACATACGACGAAGAACATAACAATGTAGACATAACGCCAACGGCACCACAATTACCACCCCTACCAAATAACCATCCACTATCCCTAGTCCCACGAAATTTTCGAAATTTAGCCATCACACATAATCCAAATTTTCGACTCACCACATCACAAAGTCCCATCCAACATATAATGACACACCAGTCACAAGATGATAATACTTATGAACAAATTATTGAACAACCCCATACCACCGCTTTTCAGTCTCAAAATAATCATTTTTTTAGCCCACGATGAGCCGCCAACTTGGATCACTACACCGATCAAATTCCCACCCAACCAATCTTACCTCCCCAATCCCAATAATACCACTTTTTGCTTTTCCGCCACCCGATTTTCCATCTAGTAATGTAACATCAGGCATGAATTCCGACACTAATTCACACATCTCAGTTTTATATTCCATCTCACAACTCAATAACCCGAATATTGAAACCCCCGATGAATTTGCCGACTCAGAACCATCCCCATCCAATAATTTTAATAACTCTTCTAATTTTTCTCAACCCCCTTTTCAACCCATATTATCCAATAACCCTGACCCAATCACTCCCACACCCTCTTATGCTTCCCAAGTTACCCCAACCTACTCCTCATACCATTCTGACCAATCATCTCATTCTCCAGACACCCCCCGAATCTCCCCAGAGCTAGATAATTTTATTACTCTTCAACAACAACCCTACCACCTTAATACCCCAACCATAAACCAAATCTCCTCCACAATAAATTCATCCAACCCCCCTACCCCTACACCCTCTTCAAATTATACTGAATCATTAGCACCATCATCCACATCAACTGAATCTTCACTCAACACTAATAGAGCTTACCGCACTTTTAAAAGAAAGTTCCCCAACCATCCTTTCCCAGCAAAACCAGGAACAGCCCGTGAATACATCAACCACCCCAAGCATACTAACACAAAAGAATTTTTAGCCATCACCTTACCCTCATTCCCACAATACACCTTAAACACCCCCCACGACACTAACGAAACACGCAACTTTGTAGATCAATACGTTTTAATGCCCACTCTCTCTTGGACCTCATATTATCATTTCACTAACCCTCTTTGCTTACCTTTATCTAACACTCACATCGATATAGAGCGAAATACGGACATGCTATATCGACTCACTACACCACTAACCGCTAGACAATTTACTTACGTTGGATATAAAAATCACTAAAAACACACACTGCACCTAGAGCTAACGAATATACACTCGAATACTATGATCACAACATCATCAGAGCTAACCAAGATCAATTCTTAGACGACGATCGCTTCGCTAATCCACAAATTACCGAGAAATTTTTCATCAAGACACCATATATATTTACACTAAACATCTTCGACCGAAAGTTTGATCACATTATTTCAGAAGCACTAATAGACACACAAGCATACGAAAGTTTTAAAGAACGCTTCCAAATATTTTCACTAACCTTTCATTTCCTTGCACCACACGAAAGAGATTTACACTGCTCACACGATATTATGTTGCGCACTAAACAAACCCACACATATAGTTATTATCGCTTCATCCAAAATCACTTTGACCTACACACACCCTCTAGACAACCACACCATCGTTTTCAATTCATTAATTCCAAATACACTTCACCATTTTTCCTAAATTTCACATATTGCATTAAAGATACTAACCTTCATGGTATTCTTCGTAATTATGACCCCATAACCCAAATGTACATCTTCTGTCCCATCACCAAGACCTTCAACGCCGAAGAATCCCGACCCTTCCTTATCCCGCACGAGTTTGTACAACCCATAGAAATCCCAATTTTAGAATTCATCCACAACACTAAATTCAATCACAAATTATATAATCTAATCCAAAACACACCTTATGAGTTTGCAGTTGGCACTGAAGAACTAACCACTATTAAGGCACTTCAATTGCTTTGGCCACTGCTTCAAACTAAAAATATCATCCGCATCTTAGCTAAACTACTAACAACTTCAGAACTAATTCATGACATCTTCCCCCACGGTTTTTTCCCCGACGACTAACAGGTAAGTATGAATTAAATGAATATAACTAACTAATTGAAATATTAAAAAACTCACCATACTTTATCCATGTTTTCTTTAGATTTTTAGCCTTCATCCGACAATCACCTACAAAAACCACAAAAGACAAATAAAAATCGCAAATTTCATCAAACAGATTTCAAAAATTCTATTAATCTCTTACACTTATAAATTAATAAATTTAATACCAATGCAGTAAATTCATTTCTAAAATTTTCCCCACAAGCAGTAAATCTAATTATGATGAAAATTTGTAACTTAAAATTCCCCCATAACTAGCAGTAAATTTCCAAATTCTATGCAGTAAATTAATAAAATGCAAATGCAGTACTAACCTTTTGATATTCTCATTCATTCGCACAGAAATTCTATCCACACTCGCACAGCTCGCCCACGAAGAATTGTTTAAAATAATGAATTTCAGTTTCAAGTTCTCACACTCAACAACTCTAACATATAATAACATGTTTCAAACTTTCCTTTAACCCGGTTGGAAAGGAATCATATACTAAACAAAACTAACCAACGCAGCTTACTAAATACCACAAATCATAGAATAACAGCATGACTAAGAAAAGGAAACCAACGGTACCCAAACCGGATTAACCCAGTTTAAAACTGGATAATTTATTCTTTTGAAGACTATTATAAAGTCTAAGAAAGAAATAATAAAACACAAAAAAGTCGAAAGACAAACCCATACCACGAACAATTTGCTTTTTGGAAAAAGGACATAACCAACAAGACATAAGAAAAACCACAACAAACCCAACATAAAACGTTGTCACATAACAGGACCCCTCACAAAAACCGCATGAAATCATACTCCCACTCCTGGCCTAACCCACCAGGAAGGACGTCCTGAGCATGCTATATAGCCGGCCTAACCCACCGCGCTACATCCACGCTTTGTGACCACACCTCTATTTTTAATAAGAGCTACTCAAGTGTGAGTAACTCTTCAAAATAACCGAACTAAAACAAAAAGCTTTTGTGAAAACAACTAACTAAAATCATAATTAAAAAATATTAAACTAATAAATGTTTTATAAAATGTAAATTACATTATGCAATACATAGATCAGAATACAACACCAAGGACGAACATCTAAAGACAAAACGACCCCACTACGCTCGAGAGAGAATGGCCAACCACAATCGATATGCCACTCACAATCACAACTCAAAGGATTTAGAGTACGACTTGACTTCGCAGAAAAGGACTTCATTGAACTAGACCAATGACCACCTCGATGTTCAAGTATACGTACAGATCCGAGTAACCAGGCATCCCCTCCATGCACAATCTCCACGCCATTCCCAAATTAGATCAGACACAAAAGAAGTTCTCCACGCAGAACAGAAAAACCTGACATAGCAAACCATTCTGAAATCAGATTTGAGTTTGTTGCAAAGACTTAGTCGTTGTCACTAGAAGACACAACGTCTTATGTCTCTAACTCCAGCTTCCTGGAACTTCTTTAACAAAGAGGAAACAGAAGAAATAAGATGTTCGCCAAACACCAACGTCCATCATCCATCCTTCGAATTGCAGAAGAACTATTCTAAAAAACTCTGTAAAACCCGGATGGGTGGAACCTGATCTAGACTACATTTTATGATTGGATAATTTAGATATTTTACCAATGTAAAGTATTTAATATTAACCAATCATGATCCATCTAACTAACAACCCACTTATTTGTAAGTGCTGAAGTTACTTGTAATTTCAGCACCAGAGAGATTTGAATTTAACTTAGAAATTAGTTGGACTCTCCCGAGCACTTCAGCAGCCGCAATAAACCAGTATACCCTAGATCTATTGAGCCTAGCAGAGACTAGTTAAACAACCTGAGACTAGATAGTATAAGAGTAAGATTAGGATCGGTATTAGACTAAGAAGTTGCACGAATCTATCCGGCCGAAAATAAGATAGCGTGACGAGCAGACGGTGTACCCTATCCGAAATTACTCTATGAGTTAACCAACTCGGTCCTAACTCAAATATTCCAATATAGCAATTTTCAAACCCGGTAACTTTACAAAAAATGATCACAGGTGAAATATTTTTTGAAATTTGAGCTCAGGATAACTTAAATATCTCTCAGATGGTATAAAACTTCTGTCAAAAAAGGTAAGTTAAGAAGTCAAAAATTGATAAAAATAAAAAATCGCTCAGAAAGTCGGAACAATTAGTTTTTAGACAAGAAAACTAGTGTTGGAAGCTTCATTAAGCGCTTCCTTGGCAACAAAATGCTTCAAAATAATTTCAATTTTTCCCATTTTCCTTTATTGGTTTTTGAGGGCAACTGTTGTCGATTAATGTCTAAACGAATAATTTTCTACGCGTGTCGCGTGTGTTTAGTTTTTTCATCACATCATTCAAAAAAACCGCCAATCATTTGAAAAAACAAGCAACCATTTTTTGTAATTTCTCTTTATAAATGTGGAAAAATTACAGCAAAAGTCTATGCTTCTTTCACCTTGTGCACAGTCTGCTTTGTTCCCCAATTGTAACTGAGCATGATCTGTTTTGCACCCCCATTTCCTTCCGCCCCCACACTCTTTCCCCCATCCAGAGATGCCTTCCCTAACTCCTTCGAGCCCTCTTTCCTATCATGAGTTGAAGTGCTCAGAAAAATCGTGAAGTTCAGCACCAGAGCTCCGGTCGAGTCCAGAACTTCATTTCTGAAAGCAAAAAAAGTTGCAATAAAAAAAGAGTTTTGCATCGGTGTACTGAATTTATTTGATGCAAAAACTGATAAAGCAAATCACGAGGCAAATTGAAGCTGCTGATTTAAAAACAACAAAAACAAAAAATTCTACCTAAATTCATGCCTTAGGAAGTAACAATGACTCATGCACCCTTCCAGAATATTTAATAAGGCAAGGCAGCCTTGTAAAAGCAAAAATTACGGATGAAATCAAAAAAAAATTCAAAACAAAAAAGTTTATTGCAGCGCCATTTGTACTTCATGCCTTACAAAGTAAAGTTATTTATTTGATTCAAAGTATTTAGCAGGTGAAAAAAAATTAATGTTTGAAGTTTGAACTTTTTTTTCCAATTTTCCATAGATTTTACTGATCAATATTTTTTGACTTGCAGACAAATTTTCACAAAACTGCGTCAAAAAATGCTAATAATTTTAAAAAGTTTTATAAAAAAAATAATTTTAAAAAGTTTTTCTGCAAACATTCATTTAACCAAACGAATTAGCTAGTTCCACCCAAGCGTGCTATTTTCGATCGACTCGACCAGACTGCTATGGTCAGTATGTCATAAAAAGTCATTCAGTACGCCATTGTAAATTTCTGCCAATTATCATTTATATTTCATACAATTGACTCGTTTGTGCACTTGTTATCAAAAGTTATAAACAAAAAATCAGACAAGTAATAGCTCCAAGGTGAGTGTTTGTCATTTAATTGCTATGTTAAAATGTTTGTTTTTAGTGATTATGTTTTATTCGATTCTTTTCTATTAATTTGTCTAGCCATATTTTCAGTTTCAATAATTTTAGCTTCAAGGTAAGTTTTAACTGTGTTTTGCCAATAGGGGCTAAAAATGAATTTTCTGCTTGCTCTTGAGGCTACTTGAAGTAGTTTTAGATTTCAAAAAAAAGTTTTTCATGAAAATTTTCGTGCTTATCTTTGTCGTGTCAAATAGCAAGCATCACTTAATTTGTAGTTGATTTTTGAACAAGATTATTTCACCTCAAGCAATCGCTGTGCTTATATAGAAAACTGAAGTAGATTATTGAGGCACTAATCACTTTTTGCTGGACAGATTTGCATTTTTTAACATCTAGGTCTTCTTAAAAAAATTGCAGGCGATATATTTTAGGATGATCGCTCGGTTTTTAATGTTTGTTTTCTTGGTCAACAGTTAAAATTCATAAAAACGAAAAATGTTGGATACAAAAAATCTAAGCACATATAGTCCAGTTTTTTTTCGAAAACTTGACTAAAAGCATCAGGTCGAACGTATTGACTTTTTGAGCTCCTCCAAATTACAATGAAGAGATTTGTTGACCAAATTTTTTAAGACGCAGGCAATTTTTTGAACAAAAAACAGTCATAAAAGCGTTTTCTGGTATTTTTTGGAAAAAAATGACAAAAAATTCTGTTTTATCGTCTCTGCTCAAAGCTAGCATAAATTGGTGCTGAAGGCTATATGAGAAAAATTTTCGGGAGGCCAGCTAAAAATGTTTTTTCAAAATTGTTTCAAAGGGGTCGACAGTGGGTCGAATTCTTGAGGAGGGAGAGGAAGTCCGCTACTGCTACGAGCAATATTTGAAAAATTAATGAGGAATTTTTGATGCTTTAATTGTACATTCTAGCTTGCTGGACTATAGCATACAATTTTTTACCATTTAATTTATCTTTTTGATCTCAAGGCTACAAAATACTCTTTCACTTTTGTTTCTTTAACGAGCTTCACTCAGAAGAAACATAAGCAAACGAGCACGAAAGAATGTTTGTTTCTTGATTTGATAAGGCCAATTGTATTAATCAGATGCAAAATAAAATAAAAGATAACCGTATTCATAAAAAAAAGTTGTAAAAAGTTTTACTCGCTCGCTCAACACTGGACAATATTTCGAAATTTTTTAATGTCGTTCGTGTTTTAATATTCTATATCACTCGACCGTTTCCGATGATTACTTATTTAAGTTTTGGAAGTTTTTGATTCCTAGGAGGGCGCTTAAAACTCCAAAAACTAACTTTTTGAGTAAAATAAAAATTTCAATGCTTAAAATAAGTTTGAATAGGCTAATGTCAATTTGTTCACAAGCGCGAATTTTGGCGAAAATTCAAAAATTTCAAACCGGTTTTTTCTCGACACTGTGAAAATTTTTTGCACAATTTTGAGTTTTGTTCAAATCACGTCTTAAAGGGCTTCAATGTGATGTAACCCAATCCAATGATTGTTTGTGGTACCTAATTTTGCGTGGAAAACAAAAAAGGAAGAAAATCCTAAGACATATCCGAATACAAAAATCCTCCCCATTTCAATGGATGGATCAACAAAATATTTACGAAAGAAGACAAGGATAGCCGGTTTCTGTGCAAGTAGCACAGAACGTTCCGACCATTGTCTTAGAAAAAATAGTAACGTTTCTTCAAATTATTGTCGTTTTTTTTCGGCGTGGTGTGATAAACGGAGCTGAACTAAAACTGAAGATTATGTATATTTGACAGCCATAGTTAAATAGGCAATTTGAAAAACATTTTTAGTAGAAAAATTACTAAAAAAACAAAAAAATCAAAAAAGAGTACGATTTTTTTGTGCAGTTTTTTGAATTTTTGAAAATATTGGTTCCAAAAAGGCACTCTAATACTCAAAGTAAAATAAGATTACTCAAGTAAAACTAAGCTTACGTTTTGAATTTAGCTAATGCAAATTTTTATGCAAATAAAATAAGCCTACTCGCTCGCTTTATTGGCTCGAAATGTGATGAAAAATCAAAAATTTCAAACCGGTTTTTTTCTCGACACAGGGAAATTTTTTTAAAACTTTTTTAAGTGGTTCGAATCACGACTCTAAGGGCTTTGACATGATATATCACTCAACCCAGTCCGATTATTCTTTGTGGTACCCGATTTTGTGTGGAAAACAAAAAAACTAAAAGACATCCGAATTTTTTCAATGGTCGAAACAAAAACAACAAAGCTGGCAATTTAAGACATTCCCTTTTATAGTCTTCAAAATATGATATAGAGCATTCATATTTTAAAAAAATGACTTACCCTTGCTCCCTGTAAATTTAGAAGGAAACTGTTAGAATATTTTTGCTAACTTTTTGCTGACCTTGAACAAAATGGTTTTCGAGCTCTTTTGAAAAACCTCATGGCAAAATATCTTCAGTTGTCATTCTTTGAAGAGTAATTTTTATGTGGTAGGTATACTTCAAAGCAATTTTTTTATTAGTTTCAACTGCGTATTTTTTTAAAAAAAAAATCCTTTTAATTTTAAAAAGCCGAAATATATTCGGTTCTTGTGTTTCTGAAAGCGAACTCTTAGAGTTAAACTTTATTTCTTGTTTATTTCTTGTTTATTACTTGTTTTTGATGATCTGCTCATCACTCATTAACTTGCTTCTGCCCCACCCGTCTTCAACCGTGCTCAGATTCCAGTCGTCCCGCATCCTTTGGCCCTGTTGGGAGGCCACCCCGATGGTCCCCCCTTCCCCTCCCTCCGCTCCCCCACCACAACTCAGCACCATGAAGTGGGTCCCGGTTACCTGAATCGGTGAAACTCGACAAATTATAAGAATTTACCTGTTTTCTACAACTCTACAATTCCAAAAGTTTTAAAATGTGACCCAAATTTGGCTCAAATGACATGAAGATGAAATTTCCATAAAACCTTGCCAATATCATGGTTGGTCTATTTCCTGAATGTTCCATTTGAGTTCTTATATTTTAATTGTTTATTGTTTATTGTTTTCATTTCCGTTCAGAAAGCGCTTTTTTCTCGACATACAACATTTTATATGCAGCAGTGAACTGTTGTTTAATTTATCATAAAAGAATGTATAAAACTTCAGTTGTTTTAATTAGTTAACGATTATTTTAAAATTGTTCCTTCTGTCATTCGAGCCAATTTTTTCTACAAAATAAAAATTGATAAAGTCCTTTAAAAACCATCATACTTGTAAAAAAAACTTAGCTTAACTTAGCTTAATTGCTTGCTACTACAATGTTTTTGCTGTACTTAACTGACCAGTTCACAGTTTCCAAACTGGTCTCCATTCACGAGTTTCAACTTGGCCCCCAGATCCCCCGCGGGACTCCTCCTGTACGTGGCCTCCCAAAGCGCCACTTTGCCACTCGGCAGCTGTTGCGGGAACTGGGCCGCCACCTCGTACTTGGACGACTGAGGGTGCTCCAAGTACTGAAATCGAAAACTCAAGGTTTTAATTGTAAGCTTAAAATAATAATAATAAATTGTTTCCCCAGTGAAGTCACTACAAGAACGGAATTGCAAATTAAGAATTCTTTTACAAAAACGTCACTTAAGAGAGCGCCATAAGGCTAGGTTAAGTTTGTTTCAGGCTTAATCAGTTTAACCTCAGCAAAGCATTGCGACCCGTACACGATTCCTGAAACCAGATGTAGTCCCGTGGAGATTGTTAATCAATTGATTTTGCAATTATGTTCTGGTGTACTTGGCTTTTTTACGTGCTATTCAGTCTTATTTGTGAGATATTGTTAAGCATATAATTATGATTAGAAATTACAAACTAGCCCAAAAAGTGCAGAAAAAGTTTTAGGGTCAAACTTCCTGACAAGCGACTATTCGTAGCAGGGGCGGATCTAGGATTTTATCGTGGGGGGGGGGGGGGGGTTGTATTTTCAAAAAGTTATAAAACTTTTTTAGGTTGACCAAAATTATTTTCCAAGCTCCCCCAAAGCACTAAAAAGATCCTGTTTCATTCACCTGTTAACGATTATCACCTGCTAACAACTGTGTGGAATGCGGTCAAAAAGTAGAAAGCCAATCGGAGTCGAGATAAGATAACAAGCTTAAAAAAACTTCTTTTCTTGGTTCTGATTGGCTCACGACTTGTCTACTTTATGACCTGTTTAATTTTGCTACGTAACCCAAGTGTGGCCTCTTGCTACATCTCGGTCTTACGTTTTCTATTCTGTACTGGAAGCAGAACTTGTCCACTGAAGCATGTGTGCTGTACTCGATCAACTTCTTGTCTCTCTGCAGTTCAGACACCTCGTGATCAATTCTCACTCTCAGTTTAGCCCCAAAAACCACAATATCTTGAGACGACTCCTAAACAGACAAAATCATCCACAATAAGTATATTGCAGCTCCAATTTTCTGGAGCATGTTTTGGCCCTAAAAAAAACGTTTCCTTTTTTGTCAGCGCGCTTACACTCTTACAATTAAAATTGATTGGCGCCGTTAACACTTCTGGAAAAATTTCAGGACTATTAGTCGCCAAAAGGTGCTTGAAGATAATGTGCTACCATGGTGTGCCTACCTTTGCAAGTGTTTCGTCCAGCAGCTCGTGGGGGAGGAAGCTGTAAGCATTGACCCCGTCCCTCGTCACCCAATCAGAGATGTCTTTGTCTGCATGCTTCCTGTGCACCTTCAGAACATTCATCTCCCTGTCGTACACTTTGAACTCCACATTGGCCACTATCTACATAAGCAATAAGCATAAAATAACACCATCATCAAGCAACATCCTTTTCGGACCTTTTTAACTGTATCCTTCTTTTGCAAAAGGGGTAGATTCGTTACTAGGTACAAACTTCTCATATGCTCAACCGTTGATTTATTTCTTTATAGTGGCATAGTTGATGCTAGGTACCCGAGGGGAGATATAGTTAGAGAGATCCTCCTTTCAGATTGCTGAATTTTTCCTGGTTTGGCAATAAACTTGAGTTTGGCTTAACCTTGAGGCCATTTGATCGGAATTGGTCGAAGTTTCTCAGTCGGATGAACAAAGCGAGGTGCTTGTCAGAAGCAGAGACGTTTATATTACACGGCAGGACTCCCCAACTCCACTCAGCATCCGGCGCACCCTCCACGCCTAAAAGTCAGCCCCAATTTTTCACACTATCTGACATTTTGGTGGTAATTAAACCAGCCGACGTATAAACCAGCCACAAAAACGTTAGTGTTATGTAATAGTTATGTAACGATAATGTAACAGTTACGAAAGTTATGCAATTTCCTTCGTATAATGTAACTTTTCGGCTGGCTTATATACTGCGCGCATTTTAAGTTGCTTTATGCTTCGTCTGGTTTATTTACTCTAGAATTTTTTTTGGCCAGCAATGGGCTTCAAAATCTAATATCGGAGGTCGCTGAGCGGCAGGGTACAATAACTAGTTTACAAGAAGACAAAAAGTTCAAATAATTTTCTTATCTTAAAACATAAATTTAACCTTTGAACTACACCAAAAGAGTCTAGGAGCTGTAGCTTATCGAACTTAGGGCTAGTTTGTCAGCAGTGAGACGAAAAGTCTAATTTATCGACAATTTGTAAACGGCAATTGTTGGATCGCTTTAACTAACCCCCCCCCCCTCCCAATTTGCAAAAGGGGGAGATTCGTTACTTGGGACAAGTTTTACATATGCTTAAACGTTGAGTTATTTTTTTATAGGGGTTGGCAATTTATTACTACAGGTACCCTAGAGGGGGAGGGTGGAGAAATAGTTACAGAGATCCGCGACTACTTGTAACACTTAGAAAAGTGATCAATTTTGCATGGCGTGGTCGCGATACTCGCCTGACATGGTTCGGAAGAAGGGGGCCAGGAATCCGAGGCCTTTGGGTAGGTGCCGGATGTTGGAGAACTGCTCTATGGTCCAGAGGTACTCGTACTCACGGTAGAAAGCACTGGCTTCCTTGGAAGCTGTCAAAAATGAAGAATGCCAGAGATACAAAATTTAAACAATTAAGATATATTCAACCTATGTGAGTTATCAATCTGAGCGCATTACCTTAAGCGGAGAAGAATAAAACAAGATTGAACATCTTTTTACAATTAGCTCTGAAAGAAGTTATCTGATAATTTAGCAAATAACACAACTTTTCCGAAATATTCAAAAATGTTACATAAAAATAAGAAATGATATGTAGCATAAGAGTTCGTTAAAAAACAATCGCTCAAAAACCGAGCTTTTTTAAAGAACAGAACTGTTCAAAAACTGCTTAAACCGCTCACTTAGATCAAAATTTTGAGCGTCGTTTTTTTAATACAACTCAAACCGTTCGAAATTGATTTTAAACTTGGGGTGTGAAAATGCTTCCCGAGTTACCTTCAGGCGCTTCATGGTCGTTAATTTCGGCGACCGAACTCATCAGCGCATCTTTCTTTCCGCTCTTCACACACTTGTCACAGATGAGCATGAGATGGTCTTTCAAAGAGGGCTCGGCCGCCAATGCAGCCGCCATTTTGTCAGACAGGGACACTTCAGCCCCGCAGCCGATGATGCACGCTATGCTGGTGGACACCATACTTATGATGTCAGTGACTGAAAGAAAAACATGCGTCACTTATTTTCATCTCTCTGTTTTGCAGCTCTGGTGAAGCCATTTGAAACGAAAAACAAGACAACTCATATCAGGGCAAAGCATCGAATGCTCCAATTGCCATTCAGAGATGATGAAAAAATGTTGGTTTTTAAATGTTCAAAAAAAATTTAAAAATTGACCTTCTTTTCATTTGTTTTTTTTTTAATACCACATTATGTAATTTAAAAAATAATAATTATGCATGTTAACCCAATAATGCGAAAAATTCAACAATGATTTAACTTGGCTCTTGTAGTTTATTGACAAACTATGTCAAGCGAATGAAAATACGACATTTTTAAAGAGTTCTTTGTGGGTTATCAACAGCTAATTATCTCAGATAATGTTTAAAGTTCTCGTAAAAATTGATAGTTAAAAAAAATTGTCTAAAAAAAGATAGACTCGCCCCTTTCTTCAATTTCGGAACAAAAAAGGATAAATATTTTTCTATGCTTGAAATGTTTTGTGCTGAAGATATTTCAATACTATGGATTGGAGTATCTCGAATGGTTTTCACAGTCATTTTTTTAAAAAGTTTTGGATCATTGAATTGGATTCTTGTTGTGTAAAAAATCAATTTTCAGACAATGTATATTAACTGCAATTTCTGTAGCATATTAATGAATCTGAACCAATATAACTGAAAAAATATGAGGTTTTGACTGTATAAAACCGAAGAGTGTATACAACGTAAGTTTGCCCATATCAGAGCGCAGCTCTAGATTTAGGGAATGCTTGTCAAAGCCCTTTCGCTCTCTATTAACGACACCACAGAGTGGTGCCTTGGGTAGTGAATGCAGCGGGGCTACCAAGGTTCAGTACGGTTTATAATTCGGAAAAAATTAAATTGGTGGCAAATATTCTGTACTGTGTTATGTTGCTTGCCCCCTTTTCTTTGTCACTGCTCTTACTGCTGTATCGTTTGCACTCGGAACCGCAAGAATTTCTTATAGTAACTAGTTTCCGATAATTATAAGTCTATAATTATCATCGAACTAACGATGATAACCGACCTTTTTCTGGCTTTGTAATAGCGCTCAGCCTTAACGTAGCCTGCAGATAAATTTTTCTTTAAGTTTTTGTTTTAATTTTAATTTTGATTAATAGTTAAGATCGTCCCTACAATTCCTTACTTTTACTTTGGTATTCTTCCGCTAAGTTCTAACCGGAATTCCCCTGGCGACACTAGTTTTGAATTTCAAATTAATTATAGTTGTCTTCAACTAAATGGCGCATACATCAAGTCCATTTTTATCTTTTAACCAAGTTAAGATTATTGAACAACTTCCCAAGGACTTCATTCAATTATCCCGCTAGTGGTCCGACCTTCTAGAATTAGGCCTCCTCTCTTTCAAATGTAACTTCCGCATTTCAAGCTTTTAAAATTCCCATCTATACTTTTTTCTATCTTGAGTTTCTAGCTGCCAGAAGAGATTAGTTTGTTTGTTAGGGAACTTGTTGCCACCTCAGTGGAGCTTAAAATGGATACCATACAGTCATACCCTTTATAAGCCATATTATTGATAAACCTATATACTATATGAAGTCAACTATTAATTAACTACACACCTATACACTCAAATTATTGACGCGTTCCTGGGGTACCACTTTTTCTGTAGTCTAATTGATTTTCAGTCAAAAGCTCAGCTATCATAGCTAAGTTCAATCCAATAATTGCCTAGTATCCTATCCAATAATTGCCTAGTCTCCTCTATTTCAATTCATTACTTCAACGTTATGGCTCCGCAGCTACATTTCTTTAGCTTCTGTTAATTCTGGGGTCTTCTATACACTTTTGGGTCCTAACACCTAAAGATGTTCTAACACCTAACACCTTTTGGGTCCTAACACCAAAAGATTATCCAAAAGTCACCCGGAGTCACCACGGGTCAATCTTGGTTATTCGTGGTGAGCATCTTATGGGGGTTCTATCTATCAAGTTTCATCCATGTACCTACAGTACTTCCCAATTTAATCCGTTTTTAAGGTCCACTTTCAAATTTTCCGGGAAACGGCTATTAGCATCGTAAAGAGTCGTAGTAGGAATTTTATTGTCTTTTTTCGGGATAGTCTTTAAGGTCTACCTCCGTAAACACATATAACTTTGGTCATTTATTGCGTGAATTGCCTATTTCTTGGGAAATGAGAGTTTTTCGCAAGTGCTATTATTTTTACCGTCCGATGATTTGAACCTGCAAACAAAGTTTCGGGTTTGATCCAACCATACCCAAGCGACGCGAAAGTTACTCTTTTGAAATCGACAACCTAACCGTGTGGAAGCGTTTCTTGTTCTTTTTTTGTTGAGAAATTATCGTCCGTCGAAGTCCAGGACGTTGCCGTTTTTTGCAAAATTTTTACCTCTATTTTGGATAAATATGACAAGAACTGTGTCAGTTTCGGACTTAATTTGCATTGTATAAGTTTCAAAAAATACTTGTTGGTTTGAGCGTCCAAATAAAATATCGACAATCTCGTATTCTACTGTAATGTAACCGTGGTTTATTAGCGCTTTTAATCCCATATTATAACTTCGAAGTCCACATTTTGATTATTCTGATTTTAAACTAGGGCTAGTAATCACTCCACTGAGCTTATAAAATAGCGTAGCACACAATTTCATCCCTATAGAAACATTAGGCAATGCTATCTAAGACGAATCTGCAGTTAGTAGAGTTTACATTGTCTCCAACTCTGCAGATGTCATAGAGATTTCGACTGCCTTTTAACATAATCGAATTAAAGGTCTCAGACTTTTTAACCGATGTTCCCCTCAGATGCTCTGCTAAGTAGAAAAGAAATACTTGACCATTTACTTTCTAATATGACCCAAAATTGCTTTACATATGACCCAAAACTACAATATAGGTTCTCAACCTGCCTCTTTGTTAAAAAAGTATTCTACAACCGTTCAAGCGCAATCAAGGAAACATTATATACGCATTCTGGTTTTCTACAAGCCCTGCAGTCAATTTTAATTGTTCCAACTTTGGAACGAAATGACGCAAAATTTGAGCTTGGCTTGAAGTTCTTTTTAGCTTCAGTCATTTTCCGATTTTTCAACTAAGGATTATCGGAAATTTCGAAAACCAATGCCAAAGATATTGTTGTCCTAGTCTTTAAATCATTAGGATAGTGCAACCAAAAAAATTTCAAGACTTTGTTCATGATTTGGCCAATTCGAGATAAGTAACATACAACCCATTATTTTCGGAATGCACATCTTGCAAGCAAATTATCTTTAAAGAAATTGAGTAAAAAATATGAATTAATCTTGTTTTTGTGAAAAATTAATCCAAAAAAATAAGAATGATGCCGTTTCTCGCAAGATTTGCATTCCATTCGCAAGGAAAGGCAAAATTTTGCATTCTGCTAAAAACTTTCAGAACTAATTTTTGCAGCGCTCCTTGAATTTTTTTTTCAAGCAGATACTGAGCAAAAACTCATACGTTGCTTGATTATGCTTCCCCAATGGCAAACGCTTGCAAAACTAAGCTGAACAAACGCTTAGAAAAGCATTTTTTGAAAGTTGTTATTAATCATAACATATTTTTTTATGTTTTTAAAGAAACGGAATTTCAGCAAAAGACTTGCAGATAAAATTGCAAGATTTGCATTCTCCACAAGACCCATACAAAAAAGTAAAACTCAAAGTTTATAGAGATTCTTGTTGATTCAGTTTTTTCCGTATATTCCACCTATAAAAACCTTTGATAGCATAGAAATATTTTGATTTAACATTACGAGGCCAAATTTTGCACTGGATTGGCGCTCAATTTGGTGTCCGTATGTTCCTGGATTCCAGAGACAAATGTTTAAACTTGACAAAATTTTGCCGGACCCATCAAAGGAAATTCAAGAACAAAAGAAAATCAAATAGAGCGTCCTTATTGCCGAATCAGCTTACAATGCACAAAAAGCACAGTTTGGCCTCGTAATGAAATTTTATCTTGCTGAACGTAAATCTTGCAAGATAAAAATACATGAAAAAATTTGCAGTCTAAGTACACTGGGAAATATAGTCCTTAATTTGATGAATAAGCCTTGAAATAAATCATTTCAAAACGAGTTGAAGCCACTTGTGATTATCAAACGCTGAAACATAAAATAAGAGTTGACATAGCATAGCGTCTATAGTAATTTAAAAAACTGAACAAGACTGCTCGTATCAAGGCGAAGCCCTGAATGTTCCGACTGCCTTTTAAGGTTTATGGAGCAGTAATCACATTAAAAAATTCAATGAAATAAAACAAAATCAAAAAAAATTTCTAAAATTTGAAATTTTTTAAGAAAAACATCCCCCCACACGCAATACAAAGTACAAAAAGATAGATTTCGCTCCTTGTAACAAACCAATTATTGTAAATAAGCTTTTTTTAAACCAATTTGGAACGATTTCTAAGACGGATTAACTCTCCGCTTACGCGTTAATAGCGCGAAATATATCGCGCGTTAATTGTCCCAAATTGGCCAAAATGGCAATCTTTAAATCCCCGTAACCTTACAAAAAATGATCATAGGTGAAATATCTTTTCAAATTTGAGCTCAAGACAACATTACCTTTCGATTGATGTAAAAAAAATTTCGTCAAAAATGGCTATTTAAAAAGTCGAAATTTGTCTGAAGAAAAAAAAACCCACCCCGAGCACAAATATTCCGTTACTTTCGTATCGAAAGTCGGAACAAAAAGCCAGTTTCGTCATTATTTATGGAAACTTGAACATTTTTCAGTAAAATTGAAAACTAGTTCATAGACATTAAAGGATATTCAGAATGTTCAATGATTGAATCTTATAAGAGCAGTTTGTTCTGAATATTTGGCGCTAATTTGTTTTTACAGAGGGCCCGAGCACTAACAAATACTTCATAGTGAGTTATCATTTTATATGGAACGGTTACTTTAAATTTTTGTGCTCAATCTATCTAAAGACTAACAAAGATGATTTGAGCATCATTAAAAGTGGGCTCATTGCTTTTATAGGTTAATTTTAGTCTCTGAAAGCGTTCAATGGAAACATTGTCTTCGCTCGTTAGCCGGCGCATGCTTTTTTGAATACTCTCAAGCCCTAGCTGTCAAAGTTTTTTGCGCCACCCATGTGATTTTTGGTTCAAAAAATCTGTTTTTGGTTTTTTTATATAATTTTTTTACTGCTCTAATGCGTTTATTTGTCCCTTTAAATCAATGATTATATGTACCGACTTTTTCTGGGTTGGTGAAATACACCAACTGAAACATTTGGCGTCCAACTCGGACCAGAATCGCACACCCCTTCCTTGCGTTTTGTCTTCGACATATCTTATTAACCCCCACCCCCTCCCAAGTAGACCAAGTTAAGATCCCCCCAGCATTCAATTTAAACTATATTTGCTGAGCGCTGCGAGTAAAATGTTCTGATTGGCTGAAAGTTTAAACTCAGAACCAAGTTAACATACTTACCCGTAAACGGCTTTCGGGGGGGGGGGGAGGAGGGGGAGGGAGGATGTTAATTTAGTCCATAAAGTAAGTTGGACATTTCCCTCACCTTTAGTTGATATTCCGAACAACAGTAATCAAATAAACGCAGAGAGTTTACGAGGTTTATTAGGTATATATGCCAAATGAATTTGACGATATTATTTCGTCAACCCCAGGCAAACAAAAGACACTCTGAAAGCCACGCAGTTCAACGTTTATCGCCTGGTTCCTGGTTTACCAACATAACTTGGTATCGTGACGTCTCACTTTATAGTATCATTATGTATAATTTTTGTAGTGGACCATTATGTAGAATTTTTAGTAAATAGCCCACAAATTTGTTCAAACTTGGGTATAACTGTATACAAAAATAGAGGATCCCGATATCAGTCATGCACCGACCTATAATGGATGAAACTGAAGACTGATTACAAATCCAGACACGACCGGAAAAGTTTTTAAAAAGTACTTTAAACAGACTCAACCGGAATGAAAACCCAAAAATGATACCCAATTACAATCTGCAGAGTTGTACTTGATCGATACTTTACTATATGAAATATAAAGTAGATACTATGTTTGATGGAGCAATAATGATAGTCTCAAAACATGATCTAAATTTCATTTAGAGCGCAGTTATAGATTCAATTGAAGCTGAAATAAAGGGCACTGAATCAAAAGTTTAGTCCATAGCTCCTGCTTACTGACTTCATCCTACAAAAGTGACTCAAGCAAAAAATCAAAAGAATGTTCCTAATATGTACATAGAAGTATTTTAAATTATATAACTTTTAACTAAAAAAACCTTTCATCATTTAAAGCTTCAAAGGAAAAACGTAGCATTTAGTTTTTTGAACATACAAACAACTTTTATTGCTACTTTTAATCCAAAAAAATATTTAAGAAATTTTTTAACTCACAAATTTAGGTAACTCCCTTTTTATGAAAAAATTTGGGAACATTTTTTTCAAATTCAATATTCGACTTCTCGGGCCTGAACTATTTGAACTGTTCTTAAAATAGCGGTCGACTTACCAGGCTCTTTAATAGAATAAAGCAAGGCCGTAAAACACCCTGTGTTTTTCTCAATGAAAATTGATTTATGGAGGTTTACTGACCGCCGAATGGAATTTACTCCAGCGCTATCAGTCAAAATTGTAACAGTTGCTGTAATGTATAAATGGTTAGAAATGGTAGGAAATATTGCAGCTATAGCTAACTCCTGAAATTTGGTGAAAGCTGAACTGTGGTCTTATACCATGCTAACGGTAGAGAAAAGAATACACTCAGTCTAATATTTCCTCTCTCGTTCTCTTTTTTTTCGTTAGCATTGGGGAAAGATTTTCCATTTTGCATGGGGAATACAGCTATGACATGGGTTAACGTTTCCTTTGCACCTCGTTAATGAATGTTTGCCCAGTTGGAAAATCCGACACATTGTCTTCAAAGTCACACACTCGTTTATTTTTCAGACACAAGAAATGGTTGCTTTGATAAACGGGCAAAAGCAACAGAGTTTAATTTTGAGCTAAGAGTTTTAACTCAAACCAAAAAAGAATGACAACAAGGATAACGGGTTACTGTGCAAGTAGCGCAGTAGTACAGAATGTTCAGACCATAGTTTTAAAAGTTCGAAAAAAGTTTTTCAAATTAGTGTCGTTTTTTCTGCGTGGCGTGATAAAAGGATCTGAACGAAAAACTAGAACTTAGTCATAGCCGACAGTCAGAGTACAAAACAAAAAAAATACTAGAAAAACGAAAAAAATCGAAAAAAATTCAAAAAATGTTCAATTGTTTTTGATGTTTCGATTATTTTCATGATAAATTTTCATGATAAATTCAAAAGTTTTTGATTCCTAAGAGGGCACTGAAAATTTCAAAAATTGACGTTTTTTGCGTAAAATTGAAATTTTAGTGCTTAAATTAAGTTTAAATAGGCGAATGTGAAACTGCTCAATCTCTCGAAATTCGACGAAAAATCAAACATTTCGAACCGGTTTTCTCAACTCTGGCGAAAACTTTTTGGACGAACTAGATTGTTGTTCAAAGCACGACTTAAAGGGCTTTAATATGATATATCATTTGACCCTTTCCGATGATTATTTGTGGAACCTGGTTTTGCTTGAAAAAAAAAATAAAAAAAAAACTAAAACAATCGATTACAAAAAACTCCCAATTTTCAATAATCGGAACATCTGAAGTATATGCGGCATAGGACAGACTTCCTACCTATTTCAGCCCTTTCAAAAAGACTTAGACTCCTTAAGAAAGTCATATTTTTTCAACTCACAATAATTTGAGAAAAAAAATACAGCGGAAAACTTTGTGAAAATTTTTCTTTGGTAATTTTTCAGCAAAAATTGATTTTCTTTTGATTATATTTTTCCAAAGAATTACCAAGGATAGTATCTTTGATTTTTTTACACAGCAACATGCTCCTCGAATACGTTTTGAAACAGGTAAAAACAATCTGGTCAAAAAACGTAAATTACTAGTTTTATTTTTCTTGATGGTGAAAGGAAACACGCATTAGACACTCGTGGCGAATTATCCAGCATCCAATAACTGAATTTTAGAGAGCATCACATAACTGGGCATCGCATAATGAACTTTAATTTTCTAAATTTTCCTACTTTCATCGTTTTTCAATATTTCATTAACCAAGGGCTATTCAAGAACAGTGAAAGGTCAGTCGGAACATCGGAGCAGCATTGTTGTCTTCCCTTCAATTGCTTCGGCCACTACAAAACTCTGCCAGATGCATAGTAACTGGCTCTCACTGTTTGTTCCACAAATTTACTCATTGTTTCAAATTACTGTTTGAAATAACTATGAAAAAATTAATGCATTTTTTGACATAAAAACTCTCGACCCAGGGCAAAGCCCTGATAAAATGTTCTAAATGTTATAACAGCAGAAAAATTTAAACTACAGCAAATAACAAAAACTGCTCTTTTCTCCACTTCATAAGACATTAATATGCACCAAGTTAATTGAGGAAATTTAACTAAGAACCTAATCAAGCACTTGAACATGTAAAATTATCGTATCTTAGAAAACTTAATCCGGCGGATTATGGATTTAATAAACTGCTATAAACGACAATGTACAAAATTTAAGTACAGGGTAACTTAGCTGGTATACAAAAGATACAAAGAGCGTAAGTGGTTTTGAAAGCAATTATGAGATTTTAATACAACGGCTTGTACAAATATGAGTTGTAGGTAAACAAACAATTGGCTGAAAAGTCTAAAGTTTAGAGTATAACAACCACCCTTTGAAATTGAAAACGGTTTATGTCGGGCATCGATGAAACATAATAAAGCTTTATATCTAGAACAAGTTTGGTAACAAAAAAAGTGAGAATTCAATATTAAGTTTTAGTTTCAGTTTTGTCACTGCTGACAAATTTCTAGTTCAAATTTCTCTAACAATTTCGACTTTCTCATCGTAATCTTCGATGGCCATTCATAGGGATCGATCTGCTGAAGAGGGAGAATAAAGTAGTATGGCTAAATCATCCATAGGATTTGAACAAGCTGAAGTCGGTTGTGACTCGTTTGGGCCTTTAAGATCTAGAAGAATTGGGTTAGCAGCCGATCCTGATGTTTCGTCGAATTGATCCATAATATCTTTTTAATAACTTTTACCATAAAATTTCGGCGGAACCACGTCTTGGCTTGACTGACGTAAGAACGTTTCGTTACCGGGGTTTGTAGTCGACGCTTTTTCTATTGGGGCCTCGTTGATGAGTCGAGGATCTCATAAATCGGGAAGTTTACTGAGGGTTTTTCTGGTCGTGATGAATCGCTCCCATCCGGCGGGTTAGTAGGAACTTCGAATCATGAGTGGAATTCAAGTTAGGTGCCGATGTGATTTCCTAAAACTCGGCTGGAATGATGCTTATTGGGCATTCTGGCAATACTGGTTCGGTTGATTGGTCGTCTAAATTTTCATCTTTTGTGTTACTATAGGTGGTTTGAGGGTGAGCGGTAGATTGATCGTACTTCAAATAGTTAATGCTACTGAAAACAATCCATTCTCTAACCATATCCATACCGGGAAAACCTCCGGCTATCCATTCTCAGTTACTAATATCGGAAGTATCTGAAGGAATGATCATAGATTCATCGGAGACTAGGTAACCTGGTTGAACATTGGTTTTTTGGAACGAGGAGGTTGTCTTCTTGAGGGATGATTTGAGGAGCTAGAAACCCTTGTCCTGGTGTTTTTGTCCGACTTGGCCATCTTGATCTTCGGGCTAGGTCTTCTAGACACGAATGCCTTTTGTGGTTGGAACAATTTGCACTTAATTCAATATCTTGTTTTAAAAAAACGGGAATGACATGTTTCCTCTAAAAGATTGAAGATTCGGTTTTTGGTAAAATAACATCTGATTCTGATGATTTTTCTGCCGGATAAGGATTTTGAAGCGTTAAAATTTTTATGGTTCAATTCTTTGTCAATTTTTTGATGCTCTTTTTGGTTTTTTGAAGGATGTTACCCTTAAATGGACTCTGAAGTGGTATATTGACGAAGAGGGCTGTGAGGGAGAGAGATAACTCGACTCCTATCCCTTTTCCGGAGGCGATTGGTTTTTCTTGGGCATCACGGTGTCCTCGTAGCCATACTCAACTCTATTATTGGATTTCCAGTCTAAGGTGCATTCCTTGCTAGTATTGATTTCCCTTTGTCTAAACTTTTATTGGATAATTCACATGAAACAAGTTGTTTCCAGAGGGTGTTTGCCTTTCTTTTGAAGTGTTTTTTGAATGGAGAGCGTTTAATTTTTGACTGAAATGACGTTAGGAGGTTTCAAATAATTTTCAAGACAGCGTCTTGTAATGTAAGCTTTTGAAGTTACTGTGCCATTGCTAGTAGTTGAATTTTTACAGAACGTACAAGCTTTTCGACTAATCCGTTAGAACGGTGATCATATACTGTACAGAAAATTAATCAAATGTTATTAGAGTCACAAAATAATCTTGGAGAATGTCTATACCTGTTTTTGTTGAGGTAGATGCAGCAGTTTGATCCGAAAGGAGTTTCAAAAATCTATCGATACACATCGAGATGTACTTGCTTGTTCCCCACTTAGATCTAATTTATTTTCTTCGTTAGGTTCTGACAAAGAGGGTATTTTGCTCATTTGTGAGTTTGGGCTTACGTTCCTGAAGTTCATACCCATTTTAGTGCACTCTGAACAGTTTATGCTTTGGAAGTAAATTTTTCTATCTAATTGAGGCCAACAGATGTAGTGGGCCAAGTATTTCATTCCAAATTGACCAGGATTGGCGTCATTTAACTTTTTCATCATAGCTTTTCTGAGTTTAATGGGAATACCGAGTTTTCCGTCCATATATAAAAATCCGTCGGATCCGTGAAGGTCGCTCACAAAATGATGGAAATATGGAGAATTTAAATTCATCATGTCAACTTTGTTTTGAAATGCTTCAACGATAGGGCTCAAAAATGGGTCGTCTCCAGTTAGGAGATCTAACAGTTTGTGTTAATTATAGTGTCTAAGTGCGAAGGACGTTCAGGCAAATTCAAAGTTTCACGGTTATTGTTTACAAGTTTTTTGTGCTCGGATCGGATAACAGCGGAAACTCTGGGGAATCTTGAATACCTGAAAAGGACGCATTAATTACATTCTAATAATTTGCCATAAACACAAACTTTACAATTATTCTATCTAAAGAGAAATTATTTAGGTGAAGACTAGGAAACAAAAACAAATAAAAATGCAGATTTTCTTAAAAGAAATTTTTATATAATTATTGTCTCAGTTACTCGAAGTACAAAGTTCAGTTGGTTTGTTTTGTAAGCTAAAAGTTGGAAGAGTTGAGCTAATAAGTTTTAGAAATGAGCTTAATAAGTAGTTACGTATTCTAACGTAATCGGAATTGAACCAAGCGCATTGCAGTACTGCTTATGATTATCCGAAGGATAAGTCGCTCTTTCAATTTTGTTAATGGTGTCCACGACAAACTCTTCATCGTAATGTGATGGGGCTTAACGCTTTTCCAGACGGAATTCGAGAGCTTAGGTCGGTGAATCCCAAGTCTTTTCCTGCCAAGTGTTTAAATGTAAAGTTAAATGGTAAAAAACAATCAAACCGTCTATTTATTCTGCTGTGGTCAGTATATTCCCCTGGTTTGTTGAAGGG